TTTCATCAACATTAATAAATAATCTGGAAAGGAAGGATACATTAACAATACTTTGAATCAAAGGAGACAGAAGCACTGATACTACTGATCTATTGATAGCCAAGCGCAGAAATGGAGTGTTGTGGCAAGCCAGTTCATATGTGCTCAGGTTGAAAAGAACAAAAACTAACAAGACATGGTATCTAAATATGAACAGCCTTCTATCAGAATCCTAGAAATCACTGCCCTAAAATCTCCCCACAAAGAGACCCTCAAGTGCAGATGGTATGACGACTCACTGAGATTAAGAAGGAGGTAATTGCCAAACTTCTACAAACCCTCCAGAAACACAGATACCCTGGATACAAATACACAGATACAAAGGAAGGGAAGCCCAGGATGTCCCTGGTAACTAAAACCAAGGAAAGACCTGCTGAGAAGTTATTTCTAGTGCTGTCCTCATGAACCCAAACACAGAAGCACTTACCCAGAAAAGGCAAACCAGTCCCTTTGTAAAGGGCAGAGTGAGGTGAGCTCCTAGACAGAAGTCAGTCGGTGCAGTCAGACTGACATAGTAACAGAGCAGAAGAGGCCATGGATACAGATGCTGTTGTTTCTCTGTTGATCTTTGGCCTTTGGAGACAGCTCTATGTAACACCACGGCTGTCCATGAGCTCCTGATCCTCCTACAGCCACATCCAAGTGCTACAGATCTGCACGCACTATCATGCCCAGCTAATCATGTCAATATACACAAAGCCCTTACCCAAATGAATCATTGTTAAAAGGCCATGAAGTAGGAAAAGTGACTTTGTTCTGATAAAAACAATTGCCAATCTTAGAGAGTCTGGGGTATAGCTGGGCAGCTTACATGCTAAATGGCATCAGACCCTGAGTTCAGTCCCCAGCACCAAGAAACTAACAAGCAAACCCAGCGTGTTGCTTGAGGGGTGGGGTATCTGGGATGCCTTCCCTGAAGCATCAGGACCAAGGCCCAGAGGTTTGTTGTTGGCTCTGGTGTTCAATGCTTTGCTGGACATCCCAGTGGTAACAGGCATTCAAGAAGAAAAAAGTAAATAAAGCACAGGTGAAAAGGTTAGAATGGAATAAGTCAAATCTGGCTTTATCTCCAGCTGACAGGGCTCCACAGAAAATGCCAGGGAAACAACAACAGAAGTACAACCCATTTGAACAAGTGAGTTTAAAATGAGCCCCAGTTAGAGGAGCAGTGTGCAGAAATTAAGTATATCCCCATTGTACAAATGGTTGGAAAGTAAAGCTACAGTCAGTTCCACTTAGGACAGTATGAACAGAAAGTAGTTAACAAAAAATGTGCACTAGAACTTCCAGGTGTTCCTGTTAGGACCTGGAAAGATGACTCGGCATTAAGAGCGCTTGTTGCTTTTGCAGAGGACCCAGGTTCAGCTCCCAGCATTCACATGATGGATCCGGAGGGTCCAACTCCTCCTTCTAACCTCGATGGGCACCAAGCAGCCATGTGATACACACGCATACATGCAGACAAAACACTCAGAAAGTAAATCAATCTTTAGAAAGCAAAGAAAGTGTTGCCCAGTTGCTGATAGGAACACCGGAGGCAGAAATACGTAGAGCTATTGCCTCCCCAAGTTTGTCCAGAGTCAACTTTCCCAAACAAATGAAAAGCAGGTATTTTTATAGACATTGGCAAAGTGATTTTGAAACATATGTGTGGATTACCTAGCATGCACAAAGCTCTGGGTTCTAATCCCCAGGTCTGCAAAAGAAGGTCTAGTTTAAAAAGTTAAAAGTAATTAAGTGTCCATGTCAGAATAGAGGGCTGAAACATGAGAGTCTTGAGAAGCAGCAGCAAAGCTGGCTGAGGTAGCAGTTGACAGACTCAGATGGGGCTCTAGGGCTCTGGTCTCTGTGGTGTTGATGTGGAGGTCAGTCAGTGGAAAATGACAGCCCATCCTTTGCGACCACTTACTTTTCAGTAAAGGTGCCAAGCCAATAAATAGGGAAAGAATTTTTTAACTAACAAATTATGCTAGAATAACTGATATGTATGGAAGGAAAATTAGCCATACACAAAAATAGTTAAACTTCTGGGTTGACAGGACCAGGGCTACGAGTTGGCCCACCCCATCCATGATCTGTGGGAGTATGTGAAGGGACTGGTCCTGCAGACCCAAAGCTGAAGGATCTCCACAACACAGGGTAACAATAGGATATCCAGGAGGAGTCCCAGTGAGGGACCAGCATTGATAGGGTAGCAGAAACCAGAGGCTTAGAACCAGCCCAATGACTCTGCAGTGAGCACTTGCTAGTAAAGATATATGGATCAAAGGGTTTACTTTGTGACTCACTGGGTCACACTACATCTTCTATAACAAGATTTTCCTTTTTTTTTTTCTTTGTTCTTAGATTTTATTTTATTTGGGAGGGGTTGCAAGGGCAGAGGGAAGATACAAAGAGACGGGGAAAGGAATGGGATCTAGATGTATGATGTTAAAGACACAAAGAATAAATAAAAAGAAAGTTTAAAAAAGCTTCTGAGTTGAAAATGTCATCAAGTATCTTTAGAATCTAGGGGAGGCAGGGTAATTTGGTTTGATTCAGTATAGTATGGATCTTGTTTTGGTTTTTTTTTTTTTTTTTCAATTTGGGGAAATGCAGCCCCAAGGTCTCCCACATACTAGGTAAATTCTCTACCACTGAACTCCATCCCCAGCCCAAGGCAGTCTCTTAGGGCACTAAAGGCTGCGTCCACCAAAGACAGCCATTATGACTTGTCTTCACAATGAAAAATTTCTGAAATGTACCATGGGGAAATGGGTGTAGCCGGGCATGAGTACATACCTGTAATACTGATGCTTCTGAGGCAGGAGGATCGAAAGCCCAAGACCAGCTGGACTACATGGTGAGAAGATAGACAGACAGACATGGTAGAGATTGGGATAGAATATATATAATGAAGTTTATAGCTTAGTAATTCTTGTTTTGTTTTGTTTTTCCAGATAGGGTTTCTCTGGGTAAAAAACAGAGAAACCAGGTGCCCCCACCACCTGGCTTTAGTAATTTTCTTTTAATGGAAAGACTATAATAGACATTTTATGAGAAAAAAAAAGTACGTGAATGAGTGATAAACATGTAAAAAAAAAAAAAAAGTGTTCCTTACATTAAGGAAATGAAAGTCGTGGTAGCACATACCACATTCCCAAGAGAATAGCTGAAATTTGAAATTAAAGAGGTCCATGACCACAAATGCTGAGGAGGGAATAAGAACTTCAAAATTCACTGACCTGACCTGGAGACACACACCTTTAATCCCAGCACTCAGGAGGCAGAGACAGGTAGATCTCTGTAAGTTTGAGACCAACCTGGTCTACAAAGAGTTCCAGGGCAGCCAGGGCTGTTACGCAGAGAAATCCTGTCTCAAAAAATAAAAATAGATAGATAAATAAATAGATAAATAAATAAATAAAAAGGAAGAAGAAGAACTTCAATTAATGGCTGACCACGAATGCCTTTAATCCCACACTTGAGAGGCAGAGGCAAGTGGATCTCTGTGAATCAAAGCCTGGTCTACATAGCAAGTTCCAGGACAGCCAAGGCTTCAGTTCACTTTGGAAATGTTTGACAGGTTTTGTTTTGTTTTAAATAAAGATAAACAGTACAGTTACCCTGCTGCATATCCAGTCAAGGAAAAATTAAACCAGCATCCATAAAATTGAACTCTTAAAAAAAAGTTTGATTCATAGTTAGCCAAAGCTGCTGCCATGAATCACCAGGCACAGGAATACGTTGAATAATGTTGTAGTCAGACAGTACGACACAACTCAGCAGTGAATAGAAAGAAGCCACAGGGATCAATCCTGAGACAACCATGCTGAAAGAAAAAAAAAAAAAAAAAAAAGGCACACCCAAACAATGTGCAGTGTTCAGTTCCACTTGAAAACTAGATGAAGTTAATTTAGGGAAAAAATGGAATTGCCTCCATGGACATTAAGGAAGGACAGACTATGGGGAGAAAAAATTTCAAGTGTGCAAGGCTAGGATCTGGGTTTTAATGGATGTAATTTTTTTTTTTTTTTTCTGAAGCACTGTCCATAGTAACCAAACAGGGAGCACCAGATGAAGCCTGGCTGAGCCAAGCACGAGTGCTGCTCCTCCCAGAGGCTTGCTCCTTACATGGTAGTCTGTTGCTCTTCTCTTTGTTGGATTATGTTTGGTTTTGCATGAAAGAAGTGAAGGTGTTGGGCAAAGGGAGGGACTGTACCATGGGGTTTTCAATGGCAGACACAAAACGTGAAACCTATGTCAAGCTTTCACTTGTTTCCCTGAAGTCAGGAGGGCATCGAGCACAGGGGAGGGAGGTTATCTAACCAAACGTAGAAGGGGTGCCAAGCTTAGATTGACAATTTGTGGTTTAATGTTAGCAGTTTATAAATTACTAACAAGTCACTTTAAAAAAAAATAGTCCTGATGATTTGTTTCCTAATTGATTCAGACCAATCTGAGATTCTGTGTACATCTCATTTCTTTTTAATCCTTTTCTTTTAATTTGCTTTCCATATGAAGACTGGTACAAATTACTCTGAAAGGTAGGTAGGTTACTTAACATATTCATTTTAAGAAACTGTTATAGTTTTGTAATTAATAAAAATATAAGTATTTCAGCATGTTGCAAATGAATAAAATGAACAGCATATATAGAAGAATGGCCTTATATGTGGTGTGTATCTGAAAATGTGGCTGTAAACTATCAGTGGTGTAAGAAACATGCCCGAATAAAAATCACCCAAAAGGAAGGTGAGGTAGAAAGCCTAGCAGACTGCAGAGCTCGCCTGTTGAGGAGCCACAGCTAAGCAGAGAACTGTGGCCTTGGTGGCCTTTCCACCTGCTTCCTCCTGCAGTCTTGTGTGGCCTATAGGCAGCCACAAACAACTAGAAGACCCATAACAACTTAACACCTGTTTGCAGGTTACTTCAAAGCCCCATCAGGCAGACTTGTAAGTGTGTGTCTGTAATCTTTTCAGCTGCAGAAGATCCTAAGTAAGCAAGAGGACTTCAAGACAGTGAAGATTAGTGACACCGAATCCCAGGTATGTGAGGAAACACTTCCAAATACACGGTGTTGGTGATAGCTGCCATCTCCCTAGGCCATTGTGGGATTCGTGAAGAACATGTGTGCAGATGCACAGGACTGTCCTGTCAGTCCGGGTCCCCTGCCTTGGGCTGTGAGTGCTGTTCCTATGTATGTCTAAGGTCTTTTTTTTTTTTATTTCCTTTGAGACAAGGTCTCACTCTGTAACTCAGTCTGACCTTGAACTTCTAGCAATCCTCCATCAGCCTCCCTAGTGCAAGGGTTACAGGTGTGTTTCGGCCACATGCCAAGTTTGATTTTGATTTTTATATAGGCAATAGTATACTGTATATTCCTCCACATTTTCACAGAGTATGTCTAAATACCACATTCTTAATTCGTGTGAGGGCAGTATGTGTGTGCCACAGCACAGGTGTCTGCCCTTGCCTGCCTTGTTTAGAACTCACCTCCCATTCTACATGGGAGCACTGGGATTACAAGCAGGTGCTGTTGCAACTGCCTGTGTGTAGGTTGTGAGGGTCTGAACTTGGGTCCTCACACTCGTGTGGTAAATGCTTTACACACTAAGGTGTCTCCATAGCTCAATATCTCATCTCATTGTGGCCTCAAAGTACATTGTTGTATGTCTGTAATATTTATGCTAACATTCCCCTTTTGGGAAGTATTTAACATGTTAATTTAACATTTAACAGGTCTTTCATAGTTCATAAGGCTTCAAGGAATAATCCCAGGATTACACTGTTTTATAGGCATGTGACTGTATCCTAATTACCTAATTACCTGTATCCTAAATTACCACAAATTCAATTGCTGCATCAAAGAGTGTGACTGTTGATAATGTTAGCAGACTTTGACAAATATTAACCAATATGTCATGTGGGATATTAATTTTCATTTCCACCAATGGTGTATACCAATACATTTCAATCTTCTATTAGCTGTAACTCCATCTTGTGAAACTTTCTTAAACTTCTGAATCACTCCATCTTTAGAACATGTATATTTCAAAATGTGTAAGTTTTTAAAAATCTCAGCCTCTGCCTGGAGCACATTCATATCCCAGCACTTGAGAGACAGAGGCAGACAGATCTCTATGAATTCAAGGCCAGCCTGGGCTACACAATGAGACCCCATCAAAAAAAACAAAACAACCTCCCCTCCACTGACAGCATGTGGTACACTCTGTGTCTAGACAGCACAGCAGGGGAGGATTTAACACCTGATGCCAAAGTTGTCTTTCTAGGAAAAAAACATATTTTAATTAAGTTAGTCCAGGCTGGGAAATTGCAGTTGATAAAACATTTGCATTGGAAGCCCAAGGACATGAACTCAATCCCCAGACCCCAAGAAAAGCTAGATTTGGTAGTGCAGGTTTGTAATCCCAACACTGGGAAGGTGGACAGGAGAATCCTCGGGGTTCCCTGGCAAGCTGATCTAACCTAACCTAGTTGGTGAGCTCTGGACTAGTGAGAGACCTGATCGCCATGTTCCTGAGGATGACACCTAGGGTTGTCCTCTGCCCGCCTGCCCCCTCCGCCTCCCCCCACACACAGTTAAAAATAGCAATAATTAAGAGCTGGGTAAATGGCTGTGTGACTAAAGCACTTGTGTGGAAACATGAGAACTGAACTCATGTACACGCTGGGTGGGTGGAGGGACCACAGTGATCACAGCTTTGCAGACCCAGAGCTTCAGAGTACTCAGGGCCCACTGCCTCAGCTCAGTGAATAGTAATCCAAAGGAACTCCTGCATCAGCCTTGAGCCTCCACACACATGCACCAGCAAATACACCTGTGCCCACATACACATACAAAAAGGCAGATATGTATTGATACATGAATGAGAAACTACTTGAAACAGAAAGGAAAACTTAGAAATATTTGCTTAGAGCAGAGGATGTTTAAATTGTTAAAACAGCGCTGTACTCCTTGAATCTCAGAATCCAGGGCTCTGAGATAGAATTGCAACTTCAAGGCCAAGTTGGGCTATGGTGAGATCCTTACCTCAAAAAAAAACAAAAACGGGGGCCTTGACAGATAGCTCAGTAGTTAAGAGCATTGGCTGCATTTCCAGAAGTCTGAGTTCAATTTCCAGCACCCACACAGCAGCTCACAACTGTCTATAACTCTAGGCCTATAGGATTAATGCCCTTTTCTGGTGTGCAGACATACATGTAGACAGAACACCCATATACATAAATAAATTTTTAAAAGGGGAAATGGGCAAGGCAACTAACAATGTAGCTCAGTGGTGGGGGCTTACAGAGCATGCACAAAATCCTGGGTTCAGACCCTAGCACCACATAAATCAGGCATAGAGGAGCAATCCACATCCAGGAGGTCAAGGTCATCCTTGCTACTGGAAACCCTATCTCAAAAGAACAAAAGTTAAAATAGACTTGTAAAGTAAAATCAGCAACTCATTATCAGGGACTTTAAAGAAGATGTGGTGTGAAACTGTAACTTCATTTAGTTTTATACTCAGAACAAGACTTAAATCTAAATCTAATTAGAAAAACAAAATTACCAGGGAATTAAGAGGAAGAGTTGGTAAATATGATCAAAATACATTGTATGAAATTCTCAAGGAATTAATAAAAATATTTTAGCTACTATAAACTTTTATTCATGCTTTGACATTTGGTCTGATATTTGGTAAATGTCAAAAGTAGAAGCTGTCCTTCTGAAGGGAATATGGAAGTGTAACATTCTGTCTAAATACATAGCTTACAGACTGAAAAATTAATGACCATATTTTTATAAAGTTGAATGTTATTCAGATCACTGGGACAATCATCATAGTCAGCTACTATCAAATAGCCCATCAGTAAATACTATGTAATCTTTTTGGAATAAAACTGGTTTTTTTCTGAACTCAAATTTGGGGACATGTGGCTATTTAATTGATCTGACCTCTCATTCAGATCAACCCTGAGGCAGATACCCTTAGCTTCATTAGATATGCAGGATCTTAGGACTATGGAAATTTGAGTCTAAAAATAAAAATTCCTAGCCAAACTGAGTGGAGGAGAGAATAAAGACACTTTCACATATAATGGTGAAGGACTGTAGGGGTAGAGCTGCAAGAAGCATCGGGTGCTAGACTCCAGGCCAGTGTGGTGTGGGCTGCAGAGCCTTCTGGGTAGCAATGTCAGAAGCTCTTCAAGGAGTGTTAGAAGGCAAGTTAGTTCATTAATTCATGTGTGGTATAATTTCAACTGTAGGTTTGTCCTGTTAGGGTGTGTCCCTTCTGTACCTAGTTTCTGTAGGGCTTTTATCACAAAAGGATGTTAAGTGGAAGGGGGGGGGGGTCGTCCTGTCAGTCAAGGTAGAAAGAGGAGGGCCTGCCCTCTCCCTTCTTGTCCTGCAGGACACACTTGGGGATATTTCCCCAAGCTCTCACCCACAGGTTCCCTTTTGTTCTTTTTTATAGGAACCAGCAGTGAAAGAGCCTGGAATTAACACGACCCTTCAAGTGCGTTTCTTTGGGAAAAGAGGAGAAAAGAAACTTCATTATAAAGAATTTCGAAGGTAAACATAAAATTGGGAAGATTTATATATAAGAAATAAACTGACCAGACAGCGGGGGCGCATGCCTTTAATCCCAGTACTCAGGGCTTAGTGGCAGGCAGATCTCTCCGAGTTCAAGGCCACCTGATCTACAAAACAAGTTCCCAGGACAATCAGGGCTACACAGAGAAACCCTGTCTCAAAAAGCCAAAAAGAAAAAAGAAAAAAAGAAAGAAAAGAAATGAAGAAATTGAATATACACATTTCCTAGAACTGTGTGTAGACTGTGAAGCAGCAATTTTCAACTTCTAAGTCACAACCTCTTTGGCAAACCTCTATCTCTAAAAATGCTTACATTATGATTCATAGCAATAGTAAAATTACAGTTATGAAGTATTAATGAATAATTCTATTGTTGGGGGTCACAACAACATGAGAAACTGTATTAAAGGAAGGTTGAGAACCTCTGCTCTAGACCTAAATACTATTTATAATTCTTTAAGGTATTTATTACTGAGAACCTATAAAACATAAAGTTACTATTCTCAAAACATTCTAGCCTACTTTAAAAAATAATGTCTGATTTATAAAATGTAATAGTTCTTTTTGGTTTCATGATACTGGCAACTAAGAGACATGCCCCTAGCATCACTTTGGGGGTTTTCGTTTTAACTTAGTGTTTTGGTTTTTTGAGACAGGGTTTCTTTGTGTGGCCCTGGCTGTCACCCTAAAGACCAGACTGGCCTTGAACTCACAGGGATCTGCCTGCCTCTGCCTCCCAAGTGCTGGGATTAATGGCATGGGCCACCACTGACCAGCAGTTTTGTTCTTACAACCAGCCCAACTGAACTTAAAACAAGGCTATGCACTGTGTCCCTGAGTGCAGCTCTGCTGGGGCCAGCACTGGGTGAGCTCAGCTGGAGTTACTGTGCATTGAAACTGTTCTGAGATGTGGGGACTCAGCTCTGGTCTACACAGGCCTCTTCTATAGAGGCCCCGCAGTAACTCTGCACAACCCAACATCCGTATTGTGAGAGCAGCCAGAACCATGCAGTAGGAAGCAGACAGTGCCATGCCTCAGATAAAGCTTCGTGCTAACATTGACTTTAAACTGTTGACTTAACTTCCCTGAACTTGTTTCTTTGTAATATTGGGCCAATAATACTTACAGTGTGTGGTTACTGTAGACATTAACACAGTGGAGCCCTGCTTACCTCCTCCCTGGGCTTCCCTGAAGCTCTCTAAACAGGTACTAGAAAGCAGCAGATAAGAACACCAGAAACATACTGATCTGGAAGGCAGAGGCCCTGCCCCTTACTCAGCTCACTGCATTTCTGCTAAGATTTGCTAAGTGTATATGTACCATGTGCTGTTGTATGTCAGGCTATGTTTCAGACACTAATCCCCTTACAAGCTATGTGGTAACCATGCACAATTGCACTAAGTGCTTCTGTCAGTGAAGAGGTGGTTTTACCCCAGGTGGGAAGTTAGGAGTAGAAAAAAGGGAGACCCAGGTGAAGGTGTGTAGCCCATGAAGTTATACAGGTTCTCATGAACATTTATCAGATGGTTTTCTTTTAAAAGGCCCTTGGCATTGCAAGGAAGCTGTGGTGTGAGAAGAAGCGTGTGTCCTTCCCTCTCATAGCCGACACCAGTGAACAGAAGCTTGCTGTAGCCAGTGTCATTCAGATGAGGCGTCACCTCTGCTTTCTCTCTTGTTCTCTGTCCAGTTTGTCACCAAATACTATTAATTCCTTCCCCATGATCTCGTGGTTCCTCACTTCTCCCCCAGTGCTGCGGCAGCCCAGCACAGTTCTTAGCTTCTTGCTCCGTTTCCTCCTTGCTCTTACCCTCCTTCCTCTTACCCTCCTTCTTCCTAGCTCAGAGGGTGAAAAGCACAGCACAGCTCTGTTATCTCTTTGCTACACACTCAACTTGAGTTTGTTTGCCAGCAGCCATATGAAAAAACAGACATGGCGGCACATGCCTATAACTCCAGTGCTGGAGAGGCAGAAACAGAAGGATCCCTGGAGTTTGCTGGCTAGCCAGAGCCACCAAATCAGCAATGACAGACCCTGTCTCAAAAAACAAGGCAGAAAAGTAATAGAGGAAGACACCAAGCTTCAATCTGTAGCCTTCACAAGCATTGAAACACACACACACACACACACACACACACACACACACACACACACACACCACCCTCACACATGCACACTAACACGTACCTGCATATGCATCCATACACAGTCACACATATACCATACACACACACTAAAGCACATGTACACACTAACACCAAAAAGAGAACCATTGAATATTATCATAGTACACAATACAATAAAATCAGTAAAACAAAGTGCAAATATATCATCAGTAAGATATCTCTGTCCATTAGTTCGATCCACAACCCAAAATGCATTCAGTTTTAGACAAAATTTGACCCAGAAAGAAACATAGCATCAATCTGTGCATCTGGTACATTCAGCAAATGTGGTAGGTAACAGGTGCTCATCACAGAGAGATACCTCTGCCCATCTCCCTCCCCCCCCCACACACACACACTTGGAAGTTTACAGGAGAAATGCAAACCCTAAAGTAAGCTATTAACAATGGTGGTTTTCTTCCACTGAACTGAATGTATATTTTTTTGTCCCATGAATATATCTTTTTATATCATGTATATATTCTACCCATTTTATTTTGGGGGGTTCGAGACAATAATTGATTTTTTGACACAGGGTCTTTTTTTCTTTTAAGGTTTTATTTATTGCCAGGCATTGGTAGCGCACGCCTTTAATCCCAGCACTCAGGAGGCAGAGGCAGGTGGATCTCTGTGAGTTCGAGGCCAGCCTGGTCTCTAGAGCGAGTGCCAGGATAGGCTCCAAAGCTATACAGAGAAACCCTGTCTCAAATAACCAAAAAAAAAAAAAAGGTTTTATTTATTTATTATCTATACAACTTTCTGCCTCCATGTATATCTGCATGCCAGAATATTCCACCCATTTTAAACTGTATTATGATACACACAAAACTAAAAATATATTTTAAAGGAGATTGCAATGCATGAAAACAAAGGATGCTGGTAATGGCTTTCACTTTACTCAGGTAATAAACCCTAGTGCAACTTTTCTACATTCTTGTTCAAGAAAGTAAAAGTTTAACCTTGCAGCTATTGGTGTGTCTTTGCTCAAAGTGCAATGCTGATTTTATTTAAAAAAAAAAAAAAAAAAAAAGGCGTGTTGAGTCCCATAGATTCACACTGTTGCCCCAAAAACTGCAGATAATTTCATGTAGAGCTAAGCTTCTGGCTTTTGATACAAAGTCCTTGTTTCTAAGTCGGTGTCCATTATCATTAAGCTAAAAGGAATGTCCTCTCATAAACATTACTTTTCCCACTAACTGATGCTCACACATTGGGAAAATGCTTTCCACCCAATGTTATTTTCTGTGGATCTATTAAAGCAACATTTTGCATTAGCTCTGATGCCTTCATGTTGATCACAGCTTCGGTTGCCAGGTATGATCTGCACAGACATGCTGGACTGTTGGGCTTGGCCAGCTTCTCTGGCTGCTCTCTCCTCGCCCAGACATAGCCCTGATACTTCCTTCAGAGGCCAGCCACTTGATGGGGAGGAAGGAGCTGCCTTGCAGTCCCACTTACAATATTAAGGTGGAGTACTACTAGCTGCTTATACCGATTTTGTGTTTTAATATTTAGATTTATGGAAAATTTACAAACAGAAGTTCAAGAAATGGAATTCCTTCAATTTTCTAAGGGTCTGAATTTCATGAGAAAGGAAGACTTTGCAGAGTGGCTCCTTTTCTTTACTAACACCGAGAATAAAGACATCTACTGGAAAAACGTGAGAGAAAAGTTGTCAGTTGGAGAGGTCAGTATGAACCCCTTTCTCTTTTTCACATGTGTCCATGTATGTGTATGAGTGTGTATATGTGAATTACATGTGTGCAAATACTCTCAGAGGCCAGAAGAAGGTGTCAGATCTTCTGGAACTGGAGTTATAGGAGGTTGCAACACATTCTATATGGATGTTGGGAATGGAATTCTAGTCCTGGGCAAGAGCAGCAGATATTAGTAATTACTAGGCCATCTCTCCAGCCTTTAAAAGCTATTTCTAACAAAAGGGAAAAGATAAAATATGAGTGATCCAGCTAGGCATGGTGGCGCACACCTTTAATCCCAGCACTTGGGAGGCAGAAGCAGGTGGATCTCCATGAGTTCCAGGCCAGTTTGGTCTACAAACTGAGTGTCAGGACAGCCAGGGTTACAGAGAAGCCCTGTCATTTAAAAAAAAAAAAAAAAAGAATTTATATATGAGTGATCCTTTTCCCCCCATCTCAGTGTTGTCCTGTCAGGCCTTGAATTTGTAATTCTCCTGCCTCAACCTCCTGAGTGCCACCAGGCCCAGACAGGCAATACTATTGATAATTGAAATGGAAATAAATAATTACAAATGGATTTAATTCTTAAAATTAAGAAATGTTTACAGTGGTGGTGAATGCTGTCAGTCCCAGTACTCCAGAGTCTGAAGCAGGTGGATCTTGAGTTTGAGGCCAGCCTGATTTACAAGTGAGTTCCAGGACAACCAAGGTTATGAAAAGAAACCCTGTCTCAAAAACAAACAAACAAACAAACAAACAAACAAAAAAACAAGAAAGCCTCCAAAGTCACAGGGAAACCCTGTCTTGAAAAAACAAAAAAAGGAAAGAAATGTTTACAACCCTGATTAGATGCAAAGGAAACATCTAATTTTAGTATTAAATAGGAAACTCAAACGTTTCGAATGTAAATGTTCCTCCTGGGCTGTGTCAGGTTGACAGCTGAAGCTAATTAGCACATAATGGAATCTTTTAAAATCAAAAAAAAAAAAAAACCAAGAAAAAGAAGAAGAGTTATTACTTATAGAAAGATCGTGAACATCCTGTTTGTGCTAGTTTTGCCTTGCCACCCAAGGCCCACAACAGTGATTCTGAGGAGTTCCTGAGGAAAGCTACTGTATGAGAGATCATACACAGCCAAACACACCAGTCCTCCAGAAGAGGCAGCAAGTGAGGTTTCCTGACCTTTGCTGCAGAAGGAGAGCTGTTTTCATTATACTGGCAGTGAGCAAAGTAGTCCTCTGTCTGAGGAAAACACTGTGTATTCAGGGTGCCCTATGGGTGGGGCCACCCCTGGGCTGTGGGCCTGGATTCTGTAAAAAAACAGGCTGAGCAAGCCATGAGGAGGAAGCCAGTAAGCAGCATTCCTCCATAGCCTCTGGTTCAGCTCTTCCCTCCAGGTTCCTACCCTGCTTGAGTTCCTGTCCTGACTTCCTGATGAACAACAACGTAGAAGTGAAAGCCAAATAAACCCTTTCCTCTCCTGGTGTCTCATCACAGCAATGATAACCCTCACCAGTATAGGACATAAAGTCTCAAGAAGAGAAATCACACATGAACAGTGTAAAGCCTCATTTTGAGGATGTACGATTGAGTTCAGGTGGGAATGAGATGCCATTTCCATCTGTAGAGAAGGTCCTGAGTTCACACCTCAGTGGCTGCTCTCCATGCCTATTAGAGAAGTGTTCCTTTTTCCACAACTGTGGTGACAAGTTCACTGTAAAAACCAAACAAATAAAAAGCAGAGTGCAGAAATGCATGAAAAGTTTGTTTCCAAGTCAGACAAGCACTTTGTGTTGTGTGAGATGCACAGCCGAGTTTGTATGAGCTGTGTATTTCTGGAAGCACACAGGTGCTGTCAGTGCCTTCGAAATGAGGTCAGAAGAGGGATTGAGGAGGAAGGAAGGCCTGGTATCCTTCACACTGCTGGCATTTTTTACTTTGGTCATATATTCTTTACAGTTTTTGTGTTGGGACTGGAGAGATGGCTCAGTGGTTAAGAATATTAGCTGCTCTTGTAGAGGACCCAGTTTGATCTTAGCACCCACATGGTGGCTCACAACTGCCAATAATTCCATCCAGAGGATCTGATGCCTTCTTATGACCCCCATGGGCACGAGGCATGCAAGTGGTGCACAGACAACACCCATACACATAACAGAAATAATAATTTTTTTAATTTGTTGTAGTTTTTACAAATGAAACTTGTGCCACAAAGGCCCACAAAGGCTGGAAGCACTGAGACTTGAGTAGACCACATGTGGACAGAGGGCAGGTCCTAAAAGCCTGCAGAGATAAGATCGGAAAGAATTTTCTTCTGATTAAGAGCTTTCACACTGTGACTCTGCTGGTGTGTCCCTGTAACACAGCTACTTTGGAGGTCAGGGCAAGATGGATATTAAGTTTGAGACCAATCCACACAGCATTGATTGAAGGAGGAGGAGAATATTCTGATTTCTTTTTTTTTAATTTAAGATTTATTTACCTCATGTATATGAGAGCTCTATCTGCATTTATGACTTTATGCCAGAAGAGGGCATAGATGGTTCTGAAGAGGGCATAGAAGGCATAGAAGTTGCTGGGAATCTAACTCAGGACCTCTGGAAGAGCAGCCAGTGCTCTTAATGACCCAGCCATCTCTTCTGCCCCCTCTCCAATTTCTTTTTACTGGAAAAGGTAGCAGCTTTTTTTAACTTGGGTTCTGTTTGTGCATAGAAACTGAAATCAGAAAGACCATGGTTCATATCTCAGTTGTTCTACTCCACAGACCTTGGGCAAAAGAACTGAAGAGTTGCCTACCTGAGATTTAGACTAAGATCATAGATGGTGGAACTGAAGTTTCAGCATGGGCTGCCTTGCTCAGTGCCCTGTACACTGGTTAAAAGGGAGTGACCCACTGAACAGGTGTTAGTGTCTTTAGCCGTAGTCACAAAGTATAGAAACCTGTCTTCTCTCTGTTCTGGAAATGTGAAATCTAAGATCAAAGTGCCAGCAAAGCTGAGTTTAAACTGCTTTTTGGTGAAATTCCTCTCAGCTTCCACATAGTGTCCTCTGTGTCCTTGTATGGCTTCAAAATGAGAATAAGAAAGGACTGGTCCAGAAATACCCAGTTCACACAGCCACATGGTAGCCTTTATTCTTGTGGCCCTTCCACAGCTCTAGAATCTAGAATTCCATTCTTATTCTGTGTCGTTAATGCTTTATCACCTTGCTTAGAGAGATCCAAGTTCATAAGCTTCAGGATAGAAGACTTAACATCAATAAGATTTTGATGCATATACAAAATTGTAATAAAAAACCTTTATTTTTATTAGAGCATTAGTTTGGATGAGTTCAAGTCATTTTGCCATTTTACAACACATTTGGAAGACTTTGCTATCGCCATGCAAATGTTTAGCTTAGCTCATCGTCCCGTGAGACTGGGTAAGATATGGGTCATTTAATTTTTATTGTCTGTAAGTAGTTTCACTATTCAGTAGATGATACCCATAAGGGGATGATTAGCAGTAAAATAATGTATCGTGGTTATGCTCTATTCATAGCCCCAGCACACTTACTCAAGAGTTACTTTATTTGCTTTTATTTTCTTATTCTCAAGAAGGCGGGGAAGCAGGATTGAATATGTTACTGGGAGCCTCAATTAATTTGAAATGGCATGCTTTGCTTTTGACGTTTCTCGACCAAATGCATGGTTTGACTTCTCTTGTGATTTGAATACTCTTCTCAGATAATGGGAATATGCATTATATCCACTTAGACTAATTTTCACGATTGATTGGCAGTTTCTTGTTTTGCTCTTCAGCGGAGTTTAAGAGAGCTGTGAAAGTAGCAACTGGACAGGAGCTCTCAAACAATATTCTGGACACTGTCTTCAAGATCTTTGACTTGGATGGCGACGAATGCCTCAGCCACGAGGAGTTTCTCGGAGTATTGAAAAACAGGATGCATCGAGGTTTATGGGTAACACGTTTTTAGTTTGTTTATTTTTTGTTTTTTTTTTAACCTGTGTTTTTACTTGTTAGAGACAATGGTATTAAACCTAGAATTTAGAGTAAATGAAATATGTTAAGTGGAACCTTAATCATTTATACAGAAACTGTTAAACCCCTGGAAAACTCAGGTATCTAGGGTCCCAGGCCACGACTGCGGTCACCCCAATCACCAGGCGGATTCGAGAGCTTGCTGCAAACTGCACGAGGCTTTATTGTAATTTAACGAGCTAACCCCATGTTAGCTCGGGTCTTTCACCCACCCGCCATGGTGGATGGCTAGAAAAAGGCAGCTCCTGGGGCCTCCCAAGAGATCTTATAGGGCAGCGTAAGGGGAGGGTCTAGGGGTACGCACATGCTCACGATTGGTGTGCCTCCAGGCTTGGAGGGCTTGCCCTGTGTTGATTGGTCAACTGGTTGTTATGGCCCATAGGCCCTCCCAGGGTGGTTGCTGTGCTTTGTGTGTCATTTCTGTGAGCTTGTCCGTAAAGCACACCCAGGGTCGTAAGGCATAGCGCCACCAGCTAACTTCTGATTGGTTCCTTGTCACGAGACAGGCATCTCACCTCTAAGTGACCAAAGCAAGGTTATGGCAAGCACATGTTCGGCTGTTATGGCTGCCGAAAGGGGAGCTGGTCCCTTCAAAACTATAAACTACAACCAAACACTGAACTGTCATCTACAAAGAATGATATTTAGCATTTTCTTTGCTTTAAAAAAAACCTGAGTCTGGGGAGGTGGTTCAGTTAGTAAGGACCTGAGTTGGATCCCCATATAAATGCCAGACACAGTGGCATGTACTTATAATCTCACTTCTGGGAAGCAGAAATAGGCGAGTCTCTGTGTTTTGCCAGCTAGCTAGACTAGCCTACTTTTTGAGCTTCAGGCCAGTGAATGACACCCAAGGCTGTCCTTAGACCCCTGTCATTGCATCTGTTTGCACACACAAATGGACATATACTTGGACATACATGCACACACACACACTTGTATGTTTGAATGTACACATACACATTCACACACACAAATCTGAATCTAATAGAAAACCACTGTTCGGAAATCACAGCCTAGGTAGGATCTGACCTTGAGTCTGACTTTGGATCTGACCTTAGATCTCACTTTGGAACTGACCTTGGACTCATGAGACATCTCTAGGTTCAAATCCTGCAATGTCTTGTATTAGGTGATGAATCTTGAAAAGCCACTTAGTTTTTCTGTGCCTCAGATAACCCATCTATATAATTAGGAAAACTAATAGATTTACCAACAATAGCTATACTGGGAACTAAACATAAAGCACGAAGAACTCTCAATTCCTGATGTGACTACTATACTCACATGCTGGGCTCTGACTGGCGTTTGCATTAGTATCTTCTAGAAGTACTCTCATGATACAAATTTACATCAGAATAACTTGGGTCTAAAGCATCTCCACAGACAGTAAGTAGATAGTTAGAAAGAGAGCCAGGAAAAGGTGATAACCAAGAATTGATGCTTGTTTTCATAACGTAAAATTATTTATTTGCAACTTAGAAAAGAGATCCCAATTCCCACAGCACATGTAATCTGGGGAAAAATAATAAATACAGCTTTCATTACATGCATTTGGCAACGTAACTCACCCTCGGTTTGCTTTAGAGATGTGTGGGTGTGGGAAGGCAGTAAACAGGACCATGAGACATGAGACCATGCCTAGCCTGACTCCAGTGACGCTGATCTTTCTCTCTGGTGACAGGTGCCGCAGCAGCAGAGTGTGCAAGAATACTGGAAATGCGTAAAGAAGGAAAGCATTAAGGGAGTCAAGGAGGCCTGGAAACAAGCTGCAAAGGGCCCTTTTTAAGGAAGAGATGCGTAGCGATTACATTGCTTGAGGTGCCAGAATCTGTGACGTTCTTTCAAAGAGTTAACTGTTTTTCTCTAAGTCTTCATTGAGTTGCTTTGTAATGTAAAGATGCCATGTACTCATTTCCTGAGTCAGGAAATGGGGGGGGGGGGGAGGTAAGTGTGTGCCACAGTGTGCATGTGGAAGTCAGAGGCCAGCCTGGGGGAGCCAGTTCTCTCCTCCTACCGTGGGAGTCCCAGAGACTGAACTTGGGTCATGAGCTTTGGTGTCAAGTGCCTTTTCTTGACAAGCCATCTCACCAGCTCTGACTCAGTAATTTCTTGGTAAATTTTCATTAAAGAATATAATAAAAAGAACAGGAAGTATTCCTTTACAAAAAACACACACTGCATTATCAGAGGCCTGTATACAAAGTGACACTCTGGTAAGCTGGAGGCCAAGATTGTCACCTAGCTTTTGGACATGAGAATGTGAAATGCTTTCTAGAAGGCTAAGCAAGTGCCACCAGGGAAAGGGAGTTAATTCTCAAGACAGGTCTGGATGCCAGAAGCTGTCTGTGGCTTCCTAGGGAGTAAACGCAGTTAAATACCTGCTCCAGTTTTTCTGCACTGTGTCCTGTCCTATGTGACTGTTCCCTGCCTTGAAAATAACATGTGAATGACAGTGCCTTGTCTGGAAGCAGGATAAAGTATTTACATTGATACAAGAAAAATAGGCTTTCTTTTTAAATTTTTCCTTGCCTTGAGATATAAATACAGTACCCTCTCACAAGCACATAGGTGTGGGGCCTCAGCCTGCATAGGACATAGCTGAGTACCACACTTTCCTAGTACACACACACACACACACACACACACACACACACACACACACACACAAATGATCATAAGATCCTGATCTTGTAGGCAAGATATATTGGGTTGTGGAAAGCATTGGATATGGCACTATAAAGTAGTTGGCAATAAAATAAATATGAAATATGCGCCAGGCAGTGGTGGTGCGTGCCTTTAATCCCAGCACTTGGGAGGCAGAGGCAGGCTAGTCACTGTGAATTTGAGGTCAGCCTGGTATATAGAACAAGTTCCAGGACAGACTCCAAAGCTATATAGAGAAACCCTATCTTGAAAAACCAAAAATAAATAAGTTAATTAATAAGTAATGATGTTATGTTTTGGGGAGATGTACGTACATGTTTATGTTTGTACAGGTGGGCATGTATATGTATGTGGAAGCCCCTACTCCTATAAGTAACCCCTCACTCATGTTCTGACGTAACCCCAGTAAATTCATTAGTTCACCAAGCTAGACTTGGATGATACTATTGCTTTGGTCTGTTGTGTTCTTTTAATATTCCCTTTATTTTAGTGTGCAAGTGTTTTACATACATGATGTGCACCTTATGTGTACCTGTGGATGTTGTGAACCACCATCTGGCTGCTAGGAACCAAAACCCAAGTCGTTTGCAAGAACACAGGTGCTTTAACTTTTTGAGCCATCTCTTCCTGTCCGCTATCTAGTGAACACATTTGTCCGTGTCTCACCAAAAACAGTGTCACCACAAAACAAAAATCACAAAATGTTTGGAGATTTTTGTGGGCTTGTTGTAGTTTGGCACTTGGGTTGTTTTGAGACAGGGTCTTACAGTGTTACCCTTCCTGTCCTAGACCTTGACGTGTAGTCCAGATGTCCCTGAATCCAAAGATCCACCTGCCTCTTCCTCCTTCGTGATGGGACTAAAGGATATGACCATTATGTGTCTCAATACCAAGATTGTACACACCTGCAAGACCAATGGACTAGAGTAGAGCCACCTCACAGACATGATTGGATAATTTCAACAAGGCACCAGAACATTAAAAAAAAGAAAGAAAGGACTTGTTTTTCAACAAAATGTGCTGAAAACTGCATATCCACAAATTCCTTTCTTCCAAGCTCCCATGACAGCTCATTGAGCTCTGAATGCTGGATTGTTTTCTAGCTCAGAATTCCAAATTCCTTTCACAGTCCTCCCAAAAACAACATGGTCAGGTCTATCAGAGCAATCTCCCATGATCCTGGTATCAATTTTTGTTCTAGTTTGTTTTCTGTTGTCATGACAAACAACATGACTAAAATCAACTTGGGGGGGAACTTGCTTATTTCAGTTTACATCTTGTGATGACAGTCCATCATGAAGGAAGTTAAGGCAGGAACCTGGAGGCAGGAGCCAATGCAGTGGCCATGGAGGAGGGCTGCTTACTCAATTGTCCCTTATGGCTTCTTCAGTCAGCTTTCTTTTTTTTCTTTTTTTCTTTTTTTTGAGACAGGGTTTCTCTGTGTAGCTTTGGAGCCTATCCTGGCACTCAGGCTGGAGATCAGGCTGGCCTCGAACTCACAGAGATTCACCTGCCTCTGCCTCCCGAGTGCTGGGATTAAAGGTGTGAACCACCAACGCCCGGCTCAGTCTGCTTTCTTATACCACAGACTTGCTTACAGACCAATCTTAAGACAGCATTTTCTCGATTGAGGTTCCCTCTTCTCAGATAATCCTCCTAGCTTTCGTCAAGTTGACAAAAACAAAACAAACAAACAAACAAAAACCAGACTGGCAGTGGTGGTGCAAAACGCCTTTAATCCCAGCACTTGGGTAGCAGAGGAAGGGGGCTCTCTGTGAGCTCAAGGCCAGCCTGGTCTAGAGAGTGAGTTCCAGGACATCCTCCAAAGCTATAGAGACTCTATCTTGGGGGTAGGGTGGGGGGGAACAGTACAGTCCTAGGAATTCAAATAAACACATGCAAAGCCCACTAAATATGTACTTGAAAGTAGAGGATGTGAATTATATCTTAATGCAGCTGTTCTTTTGCTTAATATAAATAAGATTAATCAATAGATTGGGGAAGTGATTGGAAATAGCAAGAAATAAAACAAAGGATTAACATTGGAATTGAAATTCTCATCTTTATCGTCCTAATTTCCTCCCCACAACCCCCAGTATTTTTCAAAGATTAAATTACATCCATTGGGGGAGGTGGCTCACACGTGTGACGTGGCATGCATGTGGAGGTCAGAGACAACTTGAAGAAGTCTGTCCTTCTGCCATGTGGATCCCAGGGATCAAACTCACATCCTCAGTCTTGTCAGCAACTGCCTTTCCATCCTGAGCCATCTTGCTGGTCCCCACTACCATCTCTAACAGATATTTATAATGTCTGTTTATTACTCAGATATCTACCCCAGTAATAAATGCCTGAGGTAATCATCTTGTAAAAAGAGAAAGGTCTTCTGGCTCATGGGTTTAGAATTCACAGGCCATGATCAGGTATAGAACCATTGCTTTCAGGCTTCTATTGTGGATCCAAGGTGGCAATGATGAGAAGTGCATGGTGGGAAGGACACTTACCTCTTAGCCAGAAAAAGGAAGCAACAAAGGTCTCTCATTCCCCTAAAGGACATATTCCCCATGACCCCAAAGCCCTGTCCACTAGGCCCCTTCTAAAGGCTTCACTGCCCTAACATCACCAAGATGATGATCAACCGTTTAACCATTTGGGTCTTTGGGGGACATTTAAGATCCCACCAGTGAGGTGGCTTATCAGATAGAAGCATTTGCTGCACAGGCTTGATGACATGAGTTGACTCTCTCTAACCCACAAATATGGTGGTGGCTCTAATCCCAGCGTTCCTACAAGAGATGGCAGTCAAAGACAGGAGGATTTCACATCTGTGGCATAGTCAGAGACGAGATCTTGCCTGAAAACAAGATGAAGGAAAGAACTGGCTTCCACAGTTATGTGGTACCCCATGAATACATGCATACACACATAAATAAAATGACAAAAGGATTAAAGGTAAAAATATCGAAACTATATTGGCCCTTAGTAATCTTCCTACACATTTGTTTTTGTTATTGTTTTTCTTTTTTTTCCTTTTTTGGGGAGTTTTTATTTGTTTTGTTTTTTTGGTTTTTCCAAGACAGGGTTTCTCTGTGTAGCCTTGGCTGACCTGGAACTCACTCTGTAGACCAGATAGGCCTTGAACTCAGGTCCACCTGCCTCAGCCTCTCAAGTGTTGGGATGAAAGGCTTGCACCACACATTTATTTTTTAAGATAAAGCTCTAACACACATGAATTTAAAAAAAAAAAAAGGCATGTAACCAGGAGTTCAGACACAACTATATTGGAAGAGTGCCTCCAAATAAATTCACATCTCTGAAACACCCTTAAGCCAATGTACTCTAGAATATCTAACAAGTCGGTAGAGAAACACATGAAGGGGCTGGGCACAATTGGGTGCTCCTGTAATCCCAGCTATTTGGGAGGCTAAGGAGGGGATCACTGGAGTTCAAGGTTTGGAGACAAACCTGGGCAACAGTGAGATGGTATGTCAGAAAGAAGAGAGGGGGTGGGGAGAGGGAGAAGGGGGAAGCAGGAATGGAGGGGATAGAAACTGAGGGGGAGAGGAAAGAGGGAGGGAGGGAAGAAAAGAAAAAAGAGGAGTGGAAAGAGGGGAGAAGAGAGTTAAAAGCAGCTGGTAAGTTCATTCACAGTGAGAGGTGAGGTCACACAGATTGATCCGGGTCTCCAAGAGAGCTATGCGCTCATCAGTCCATACTTATCAGATTGGTACAAATTAGAAATTTGATCCTGCAAAGGTCAGCGTGGACTCAGGAGGCAAGATCCCTCCCTGTGTCTGCTGGCTACAGGCAGCCTTCAGGAAACTAGAACGAGCCTACCTCCTGGACAGATGCCCCCAGAGAAGCAGGGGCATGAGGGTGGCTCCAAAAGCATTCCTGTCAGGACTGCCCACACCAATGTCCATCACTAAGGAAATGCATGAATAAAATGAGCCAAGGAAGACAGTACTTGGTTAGAACTGTGGCCTGAAACAGCAGGGATATGTGTCCAATATAATAAGCTTAAGACATGGGAAGTGAGCCCTATAGCAACCACAATTTGTGTAAGTTAGAAATTAGAGCCACTGAGATGGCTCAAGAGATACAGGTGCTTGCCAGAAAACCTGGCAATCTGAGTTCGATCCCTGGGACCCAGCTAGTGGGAGGATAGAATGGATTCTCATAAGCTGTTCTCTAACCTCCACATGAATGCTCACTATGGCATGTGGGTACCACACATATCTGTGTATAAAAAGTGAATGAATGGGAGGACCGGCTCAGCACAGTGTCCAGCCCTGCATCATCTCCTGAAAGTGTGAAGATGGAGTTTTTGTCTGATGATACTGTTAGTCTAATCAGAATGTAATTCCCCAACACAAGTGCAAGTCCATGTTTGTACTCACTGGCTGTGTTTCTGAAACCTCAAACCACTTGTGGCACATAGTAGGGGCTTTGTAAACTGTAAATAAGCACACAGCTGGGTAGAGAGGGCAGCACAGGCAAATGAAGCACTAAACTTCAGGAATCGAATATGTTCAGAGCTCCATTTGATTCTTGCAGCCCAGCACTGCAAAATAAAATAAAGTGCAGCTCTTTTAAAAATTCAGGGGTGGCAGGTATGGTGGCGCATGCCTTAAATCCCAGCACTGGGGAGGCAGAGGCAGGAGGATCTCTTTGAATTCAAGGCCATCCTGGTCACCATAGAGAGCTGCAAGCAGCCAGGACTACATGAAGAAACCCTGTTTCAAAAATGAATCAATCAATGTTCTGGGACCTATGTGATGGGTCAGTGGTTAAAGGCACCTGTTGCCAAGGTTGATAACCTGAGTTCAATCCTGAGGACCCACATGGTGGAAAGAAATAACTTGACTCCCGAAAGTTACCTTGTGACTTCCAGATGGTTCTCCCACCCACCCACACACACACACAAAAAAATAAACTAAAACATGTTTAATTAAAAATACTTTTTAATTTAGACACATTAAGAATCATCCTAAGGGGCTGAAGAGATGGCTCAGCTGTTAAAGGCTAGACTCACAACCAAAAATATAAGGATCATTGTAAAAACAAAATGCATATTCTCAAAATGTGGTGTGCAATTCACAGGGCAACCACTTCAGTGCCATAGAGTAGATGAAGCAAAAAGAAAAGGTGATGGCACAGACCGCTTGCAGTATCTCTACAATCACTTTCAGATAAAAGGAATTCAAAACAAAAGTTCCACAAGATGGCACCCTTGCATTCCAAAAACACGTCCAGGCTCTACCACATGAGAATGTTCACACAGGATCTCTCAAAGGCCACCTAAAAGGAAACAATGCTGGGCTGTGGAGACTTTACCAGCTCTCAGAAGAACCAACGCCTCATCCCTGCGTTCAGCTATATTTGAAGAGGAAGGAAATGAACCTTGGCCTTGTGAAGTGACTTCCTCAGTGTCACCACCACCAAA